GGAGGAGAGTGCACAGCCTGCAACTCGCCAATTTTCTCTGATGGCTGGTCCTAACCCCGGTGTGGCGTCGTTTTCCGAGAGTCCACCTTGAGTAGAGGTGGACAAAGGAGGAGGCGTTTAGGTGTCGGGTAGCAACCTCGAAATTCAAGAGTAGGTGGTACTAGAGCAAGCGGAGCCCCAATTTTCTTAAGCCAAAGCCGGGTAATGGCCCCGGCCGGTATCTCAAATTTTCACAAATTCTATGTAAATTTCCATATGGGACGCTGGGCCTGGTTCCCAGCACGTGCTGCTCCCCACGAATAGATTGCAGCCTTGTTCCATTGGAAAAAAAAAAAAAAAAGAGCAAGTGGAGCGAGGCAGGGAGTTTCAAGAGTTACCAAGGTCTGAGAACTCGCAAACTACTCAGACTTTCGAGAGTTTAGAGTTACTCGGGTTGTTTCTTGTAAAAAAAAAAAAAGAAAAAAAAAAGAGAGTTACTGTAGTGGACTGGGACCCAAAATCAATGTTTACCCGGGGGGGGGGGGGGGGGGGGGGGGGGGGGGGGGGGGGAGAACAAAAACAAAAAGAAAGGCTTCTGACAACCTGATCCAGCAAAACAAACTGGAGCACTAATCCGTCCCGGGGGCTGGAAACACCCTGCGCGCCGTAAAAAAACAAACCGGCGCGGGCCTCCTTTCGGCTGGTGCCGGCAGCCATTTTGCTCTGGCGGCCAAGCTCCGAAAGTTGCGGAAGCATGCAAGCCACAACTTAAAAAAAATGGGTGAGAAGGGTACTGGTGGTTTAACGTTTCCTCCGCACCGGCCCCCCTCCCCCCTTTGAGGATGATAGGAGCATCTTGAAGTTCTCTATGGTGGCCGTCCCTTGCTGATTACTTGGGGTAAGCTGCAACGCACCAGCTGGAAAGAGCGTCCAGCGTCCCTTTATTGACAGAATGTATACAAGCAGGGGCGCAGCTTTCAATCTGCGCTCTACCTAGCTGCTGCCAGGATACAGATCTCCCGACTAACTCCTGCACCCATGCAGAACACACAGTCCTTATCTCAGGTACTGTAGCTATTTAGACTGAAAGTTGCCCCAAATGCAGCTATATTCAGTTGAAGACAGTAGCCCCATTATCCCCAGATTGACGTTCTACCTGGCCCCCTTAGATGGGATGGTGGTCCAGGTTCCAGTGGATGCAGCTCCCCACCAAGAGATTGGGTCAAGGGTTGACGCGGGTTGGTGGAGGGGTTGGGGGAGAAATAAAAATTAACCAGGCTGGTAGGTAAAAGGGGTGCTTAGGGAGAATGTCAAGGTAGGGAGCCCTGGTACCTACAACCACCGTCCGGTCAGGTCACCCCCGTCAGGTAAGAGATGACTGGCGGATGATGGTCCTGAGTGGTAGACACCGAGGTAGGATCATGGGAGTAGGGGTGCGCCGGAAAGAAATGACGAGAGTGGTAGGTGCAGAGGGGGTCTCATCGGAATAAGGGCCTCTACAGACCATCTGGATAACTAGTACGTGACTAATGGCCGAAGGAGACTGTCATATGTCCAGAATCCAACCTTCACAACAACCTGGGCTTTTGTGTGTGTGTGTGTGGGGGGGGGGGGGGGGGGGGGGGGAAAGGAGGGGAAAAAAAAAAGGGAGGCAGGTACCTCAATGAGGGAAAAAAGAGTCAAAAAAAGGTAAAGGAGTGCTTGCCGTTCATGCTCTGCTTTGTGGGGAATAGGTGAGATGCAGACTCTACCTGCCAAGGTGGCTGAGCTTCAGCAAGCAGAATCTGCCTACAGAGCATGATGTTTGGCGGGCAGAATCCACCTACCAGGCTGAGCTTGGTGGGCGATCCTGCCCGGTGAACCCCAGCCTTCATGCTAGGCAGATTCTGCACGCTGAACATCTTGCCGTTTGTGCTGTGGTTTCTGGGTAGTAGCTGAGATGTTCGGCGTGCGCTTCAGCAAGCAGAATCTGCCTACGGAGCCTGACGTTTGGCGCGAAGAATCCGCTTACCAGGCTGATCTTTGGCGGGCAGAATCTGCCCACGAAGGCTGATATTCGGAGGGCAGACTTTGCCTAGTAGTATGAAGGCTGAGGTTCAGCAGGCAGAATCTGCTCTCCAAGGCTGTCAGTGAGGTTCAGCACGCAGAATCTGTCTTCCTAGGCCAAGGTTCATTGGCCTGCAAAGAAATAAAAAATCCCTGTACATGGGACCTGGCCCATGTTCACCAATTAGTGGATTGATGAAATGCGCATGCGCAGGGCGAGCAGTTTGGTTCTCTCCGCTATGCTACGGTAACCTTGTTCAGGGGCAACAGCCCATTCTTGTTGCACAGATTAAGGGGCCCGTTAGACACTCCTCAGCTCGTCCTCGGGCTCCGAGGGGAAATCCTCGGGGCAGCCCGAGGATTTTCCCGCTTTCGTTCCACTGCTCCCTCAGGACGACGCCCGAGGATGCTCGGACGACTGGCCTCGGGGAGACGTATAATTTTATACGCGGCCACGGGACGAAAGTTTGGGCGGTGGTCCATCGTCCGGTGTCCGTGCGAGCGGTCTTGGTCCACCGCGTTTGGCCTTCGAATTCGAAAAGGGACTGTCGCCGCCGCAATGAGGAAAAAAATCCGCGCGCTCGCGTGTACTTTCAAAATTCAAATTTCGAATCGGCCGACCATGCCGTGCGGTGTGGTTCGGCGGGGACATGCGGGTACCTTGGGGCGACCCCATCGGGGACTCTGAGGGGTTTTGCAGTGGGCGTCATGCGGGGGAGCCGCTAGCCGTTGTGGCGTCAGCACAATGTTCCACACGTATTTGAAGAGATGGCTCTTTGTGGCCCTCCGTCGACTGTTGTGAGCGTCGCGTTCCGCCTTGCTCGTTCGTCCTCACGCACCGCGGCACGACCGCCATCTCCGCCAACTTGCTCGTGGGCAGTGTCCATTGCTGGCGGCGTCCGGCCGAGTGTTAGGCGAGTTCACTCCGCGAGGATGACTGCGATGTCTGAGGTAGTCCATGTGCGTGGAGTGGGTGATGGGGATGACATCGGGGCCCGGTTGTCCGCTCTGGAGAGGGCTGTCGTGACGTCTGTCGTAGCCGCCGTCATCATGCATTGCGACATGGAGGTTGAATATCAATGGCGGTGGGCACGACTATGTGCTCGGAGAAGGAAGTTGATGCCGGCGGCGACGACTGAAGCGTTGGATAGCGCTGCCATCTGTGATGCCATGTTGGAGGTGTGCTGTGCACTGGGGTGTGGGGGACTACCGAGGGCGACGCCGAGGTGGTGGGTAAAAAGGAGGACAGGGGGGACTTGGGAGGATCTTCGGCCTGCGGACGACGCCACTGACGATTACTTCCGCAACAAGTTACGGATGTCTCCACGTGTCTTCCGCGAGATCGTTGAGAACTTGTCGCCGATTCTCCAGCGACGTGTGACGTTCTATAGGGAGCCGTTGCAACCAGACCAGATCGTCGCCTACGCGCTGTACAGGTGGACGTCGGGCGAGACATACGAGAGCAGCAGCTGCAGCTTTGGGATTGGCAGGGCTTCAGGTTTGGTGGCCGTCCGGGACGTT